TAAAAACCCAAACCCCTGAGGGAATGGGAACGGTCCAGCGGGCCGGGAGTGACCCCAGAACTGGCCAAGATGGCCTGCCTGAGTCTGGGGCTGGACACCCTGTCCAAAGGACCAGGATGAACCGCCACTCCCACCAGGTGGAAACCCAGACATGTACGGGCTAAGCCCGTAACTGCTGAGTAACTGTTGGTACCCAAAACCATCCGCAGGTTGGCCTGGGCGACCCAGGAATAAGTGCCCGCAGGCACCCCTACTCCCTGAGCCCGGGGGAAAGGGAGACCGGAAACCGGACTCCTGGCCTGAAGCCCCAAACCCTTGGGGGAAAACCCCCTGGGAAACCCTGCACTGGGAAATCTGGATAGGGACGGAAAGTCCCAGAGCCAGAAGCCTGTGAGGGTGGGAAAACAGACCCCGCGCTGACACCAGGATTAGTGAACTCAAGTGTCACTAATCCCCGTAGCCACAGACAATCCTGACAAAAAGTCTGTGGCCCCTGACCTTATACCCGAAGGCACAGTTCCGGAGTCAAAGCGGCCCCCACCAACGACGCCACCTGGCGCGCCGAGGTCCCTGAAGGAATCAGAGACCTCGACCGGAAGTCCCTTTCCGACGGTAACACCGCCGCCTATCGAGAGCTACCGGCCAATTCGACCCTTGACTGCGCCGAGTCAGGGTCGGGCTGCCCCCCCCCCTACTCCAGGACGCACCTGGACAGGGGGAGCCACCCCCTGCTGAAGGGCGGAGCTCGGTGGAACGAGAGCACCCCCAGCAGGAACGCTCTGGTTCAGAACTTGAGGAGGGAGGTCTTAAAAAGCTTACTTCCCTTACCGGAAGAAGAGGACGAATCCCTCTTCCGGCGGAAAGTTAGCTGGAAAGGCATGGGAGCCTAAGCAGCAGACTCCATGTGCAAACAAAAATAGAAATAGGAACATCCATGCGCTGACCCCCGACGTAAACCCGGCACCTTTATCCAGCATCGAAACAATAAAAAATTGTAACAATGAAAACAAGGATAAAAAGTTTTCTAACAATCAAAAAACTACGAACGCGATCATAAAACCTACCGTACGCAGCAAGATTGTACTGCAAAAAAAGAAAACGGTCGTACAAAACGGCCGACAAAGCAGCAAGAAAACAATTTCAACTTCACGAAAATCCGAGTGACGAGACAAGTAGTCACACACTCGAACACGCGGAGGAAAAACACGGCCGGAAACGAAGTTCTCGAACAATCAAAAAACTACGAACGAGAGCACAAAGCCTACCGTACGTAGCAAGATTGCACTGCATAAATAAAACGGCCGTACAACACGGCCGACAAAGCAGCAAGAAAAACAAATTCCAACTTCACGCAAATCCGATCAACGAGACAAGTAGTCACGCACTCGAATACGTGGAGGAAAAAACGGCCGGAAATACGGTCAAAATAAACAAATGACAATACTTAATTTCACAATATAAGTTGGAAGATGGGTTTATAGACTACTAATAGAGTAACAATATACTCAAACGACAATGGCAGTACGAAGAGAAGGAGTAAGAAAAGAACTTAGCTCAGACACCTCCGCACTCGTCGGCAGCCATAAAGGTAAGAGGAAGGGAGATCACTCTGCGTTCCTGCCGTGATGGCTCATGGATCGTAGGGAGGGCGGGATTGTTTTGAATCTTTTGTTGTTGGGATACAAAGATGGGTGTAGGTACTGTATTTGCATACTAAAGTTATGGTAATTATTACTGAAATGAAATGAGCTATCATACTACTGACTGAGCTATCATACTACTGACTGAGCTATCATACTACTGACTAAGCTATCATACTGCTGACTGAGCTATCATACTACTGACTGAGCTATCATACTGCTGACTGAGCTATCATACTACTGACTGAGCTATCATACTACTGACTAAGCCATCATACTACTGACTGGCCTATCATACTACTGACTGAGCTATCATACTACTGACTGAGCTATCATACTACTGACTAAGCTATCATACTACTGACTAAGCTATCATACTACTGACTAAGCTATCATACTACTGACTGAGCTATCATACTACTGACTAAGCTATCATACTACTGACTGAGCTATCATACTACTGACTGAGCTATCATACTACTGACTGAGCTATCATACTACTGACTGAGCTATCAGACTGAGCTATCATACTGCTGACTGAGCTATCATACTACTGACTGGCCTATCATACTACTGACTGGCCTATCATACTACTGACTGAGCTATCATACTACTGACTGGCCTATCATACTACTGACTGAGCTATCATACTACTGACTGGCCTATCATACTACTGACTGAGCTATCATACTACTGACTGAGCTATCATACTACTGACTGAGCTATCATACTACTGACTGAGCTATCATACTACTGACTGAGCTATCATACTACTGACTGAGCTATCATACTACTGACTAAGCTATCATACTACTGACTGAGCTATCATACTACTGACTGAGCTATCATACTACTGACTGAGCTATCAGACTGAGCTATCATACTACTGACTGAGCTATCATACTACTGACTGGCCTATCATACCACTGACTGGCCTATCATACTACTGACTGAGCTATCATACTACTGACTGGCCTATCATACTACTGACTGAGCTATCATACTACTGACTGAGCTATCATACTACTGACTGAGCTATCATACTACTGACTGAGCTATCATACTACTGACTGAGCTATCATACTACTGACTGAGCTGTCACACTACTGACTGAGCTATCACACTACTGACTGAGCTATCATACTACTGACTGAGCTATCATACTACTGACTGAGCTATCATACTACTGACTAAGCTATCATACTTTTGACTAAGCTATCACACTACTGACTGAGCTATCACACTACTGACTAAGCTATCACACTACTGACTAAGCTATCATACTACTGACTAAGCTATCATACTACTGACTGAGCTATCATACTACTGACTAAGCTATCACACTACTGACTAAGCTATCATACTACTGACTGGCCTATCACACTACTGACTAAGCTATCACACTACTGACTAAGCTATCATACTACTGACTAAGCTATCACACTACTGACTAAGCTATCATACTACTGACTGAGCTATCAAGGCACCATTTTAAAGACAATCCTGGAAAATGATTTGATCAATTATTTTTTTATGAATCTCTTACTTGTTTAGTAAACTATGAAAAAAATGTGCTATTTTATGTTCTGTTCAATTACTCAAATACAGAGTTATACCACTTAAACAGTAATCTCTACTCTGTCACTAGCACTTTGTGTGTGATTAGAAAATATCTGGGGAAAATTATTTAAGACATTGCACCAGAAATATTTTGGTGACAAAAGGCCCAAGGGTAATAACACTTATCTGAGTTACATTGATGCCGTTGTTTTTGTAACAAGTCATAGAATCTTATTAAGTAAGATAACTTGAACTACATTATACATGTATGTAAACATTTCTTTTTGGCACCACCCCTTACGCCCATGGGGGTTGGGGACAATATAATTTACAGTTTTGATTTTTCTTCAGCCATCAAAGATTTCTTCAAAACACTGAAATCGTCTTAGGGTTTTTTTGGAAAAAGAAGTCAAAAACATGGACAAAGGGGAACACTATAGGTCACCAAGTACATTTTACTACTTGACACAACACCTTCAAAACATGCATCCTCTGTGTGACATTCGAGGTACCACAAATAGTTTAGGAAATGTGGCTTAAACAGCTGACTTCCATCATCAAGATTAAATTACAAAGCCAATGCCAAATCAACTTGATTTATCATGTGATGCATATATGGTGTGCCAATGGTAGCATTAAGTCAAATAACAATGAATGAACTCAAACTCAAGATAACAGCTACCTAATTTTAATACACAACATTACACTACCCCATGATGCTTGCTTTTGGTAATACTAAGTGAAATGGAAGAGGAAATAGGACCCAAAAATGTATTTCCATGGTCAAGGTCAATGGTCAAAGACTGGTCTATGTGACTTATTTTAATTAGGGTGCATCTATGGACAGAATTAGCAGTTCTAGGTCAAATTTTAGAGTCAATATGAATAGATCTATTTTCATGGTCAAAGGCAAGGTAGCATTACAACATATTTTTACTACATGACACAAAACCACTCCAGTATCATCAATGGTGCAACAATGGTACATTGTTTCTTACTTTGGTTTGTTGTCTTGTCAACATCCAGGGTTATTTTGAGATGACAGATCTTCATCTGAGATAACAGATCCTCATCTAAGATAACAGATCTTTATCTGAGATGACATATCTTTATCTGAGATGACAAATCATTATCTGAGATAACAGAGCTTTATCTGAGATGACAGAACTTCATCTGAGTTCACAAAACATTATCTGAGATGACAGATCTTTATCAGAGAAGACAGAACTTCATTGAAAAAGACAGATTTTTATCTGAGATGACAGAACTTTATCAGAGATGACAGAACTTTATCAGAGATGACAAATCATTATCTGTGATGAGAGAACTTTATCTGAGATGAGAGAACTTTATCTGAATTGACTGATCTTTATCTGAGATGAGAGAACTTTATCTGAATTGACAGATCTTTATCTGAAATGACAGAACTTTATCTGAGATGAGAGAACTTTATCTGAATTGACTGATCTTTATCTGAGATGAGAGAACTTTATCTGAATTGACAGATCTTTATCTGAGATGACAGAACTTTATCTGAGATGAGAGAACTTTATCTGAATTGACAGATCTTTATCTGAGATGAGAGAACTTTATCTGAATTGACAGATCTTTATCTGAGATGACAGAACTTTATCTGAGATGGCAGATCTTTATCTGAGATGACAGAACTTTATCTTGGATAATATATTCAGACACTCTAAATGATTGAGCTTATGCAGAAACATTAGTCACACCAGGTCAAAAGGTAAACAAATTTAGCAGACCTTATCCTTAGATTATGATATACAGGTGTGAACCAACAGTATCCAACTGGAGTTCGTCAATGCTTACCTGACTCCAGTTGTCAGCCAGTCCTAGGGCCAGATACACAGCAAACTGCTGTCCATACTGATACAGTGGGTTATTCTCTGGCATCTCTTGTTCCATAGCTAAACAAAAACATTGCGTATATGAACTACTTACTGCAAACCAACTCTCTTTCACATGTGATTTTCTTTCGCAAAATTTCTGAGTGAAACATTTTGGTGAAAGTCAATAACCATCAAATAAAACACAGATGATAAACAATAGAGCATCATTTCATAGTCTGTACCATTAAAACTAATTGCCATGAAGTTCATATGATGTGTAAATTATGGAAGTTAGAAAGTGTAAGAGAAAATGTGTTTACTGTAGCAGGATTCTCCCATAACAAACCCCTTCATTCCCGACTGTGAATAAAGAGTACATCATGGGAATATTACGTTTTGTGATGTAATTTTAATCCCTTACCTTTTTATATCAGATTTTTCTGGTATTGTTGAAGTAGACAAAGAACTTAGTTATCATCTTATTTATAGTTATTCACAGAACAATTATTTATCTGGAGAAAGCACTTGGAACAGCTATTTTTCTAACTATAGTTTTCCATTGTAACTTTCACCAATTCTATACAAACTCTTTTTTTCCTCTCACAATACAATATACATATCCTTACCTTCCTCTGACAAGCCAGTTGCAACTATTGAAGCACAAACATAAAACCCTGTTTCTCGTACAAATCTGTTGGTGTGCTTTAGAGCACGAAATATCAAGTCCAGTAACTCTTGATTGACAAACTCTGCAAACTGATGACTGCAGCCTTCCACTACAGACTGAAGGCATCTGGTGAACAGAACATGTTAAAATGGTTAGAATGTTTGATTATATTTTGGAAACTACTTAGTTTATATGATTGTCCCCAACTATGTGATGATGAAAACTACATAAAAACTATCAAACACAAAATTATTAGAAAGTGTAATTTTGAATTACTTGTACATAGCATTAGCAACTACAGAATTCTGTTATAAATGTAGATATTTCACTTTCTAAATTATTACTTCATTTGTCTTTTTTTTAATTGATGGAAATCAAAACCACTATGTGATGAATACACACAGACTTATCTACTTATCAATGTCCTTCATACAACAAAATCAAACTCTGAATATATTGCTCAATGATTCTTTATGTTCAGAGTAAATCATAAAGTATAATTAAACTTTGCATATTTTTTAACATAAACTTAACTACATATGATACAACAGTATAATTAGAGAAATACATCAATGTCAGTTTTTTAATGGTATGTGTTATTGAGAAATTTTGAAAGAGAAATGCTTCATCTTTTCAGGCCTTGTGATTATGAAGATGTTTGTTTGTTTTTTGGTGTTTTTTCACAAACCTTATCATTGATTCTGGTAACGATCAATGAGTGGAAGTCAAAGTAATTTATTTGAACAAAGCTGACAGCTCTTTACCACGCCACCTAATTAATAATATGATCAAATGCTTCATGGCTCTTAAAATTTGGGTGTTTAAAACAGAAACTTAGATCTAGCCAGGTGACCTAAAATATCACTCGTTCCATACATAGATTATATATGATACTCACTTCATTGATGTTTCTAAATTTTTCCATCCAGCTGTGTCATGAAATATTTGTTCGGCATCAGCACTTCCCCTCTTTAGGAAAATAGAAGGTACACACATATATATAAGATAGTTAAACTGTATTCCTGATCATGTGGATATTTCAACAATAAGCCTAAACCATTATGATTCACTGTTTCATTTTGTTACAAAGATTTCATTGCAATCAAAATGTAGTTTTCATCACAAGCACCTGTAGGTTATTTCAGTATAGATAAAATTTTGCACCATTTACACACCAGTATAAAATGGCCAAGTTCCAATGTATAACTTTACAACTGTAAACGGTACACAACACTATAGTTTAAAACTGATGTATAAAACAATGGTACAAACATGAATGGTACCTTAGATACTAAAAAATGAAGAATGGAAAGCACATTTATATGAAGAAAGTTGAAATATGCTGGACTTTTATACCCTTAACTAGATATAAATGAAACAATTTAATTCTTTTTATGATTATGGTGTATATGGATGTGACAATTATACCAACCAGGTCAACTGAAGCATAAAAAATCAAATATAACATCCACAACATTAAAGCAGTAAAACAACTTTAGCTATTGCTGCATATTGAATGTAAATATAATGCCCAACACATTTATACATGTACTTGTCAGGGTAACCAGATGTATGGACAAAACAATCTCAACTTCAGATAAGATAGGTTGAAATGCAGACCTCAGTTCTCTAACCCTAGCCGACATTGTTGGGAGAGGGAATTAAAATCTAAATCATTGTCAAGTTGATGATAAAAGACTATTTCATCTCTAAAAATGCATTGTTGACAAACTCAATACATAAAGCTAACACGAGATTATCAGATATGGAGTTGTCTTACCCGCCCAGGCGAACTGCTGAGTTTCTCCATCAATTTAGTAGTCTCATCATGCTCAGTCTTATCCACTTCCATCATTGGATCTCGCTCCAAGTTTACACTGATTTTGTCGAGTATTACTGTTTTGGATCTATTATAGATTTCGGGACCAACTTTCTTACACAAAGCTCCCAACACTTCACCTTAGTTTTAATAAAAAGAAGCACATTTAGTAAAGATTTGAATACAAAATTCAATTCAAAATACATTTTTGTAGCATCTTTATATGATATCAGTTCACCAAAGACTATAACATGTTTTATAGCAGTTCATAGAGCAAGGCTTTATACTGTTAATCATTAATTAATGAATGAAAAAGGTAAACTCATAATGGTGTTCTACTGATCGATATAAGAATTTTAACAGAACATCAGAATAATCTTGACAAATGTTCTACCTACTGAGCTATTGCAGTTCCCTGTAGCCTCTAATACAATGAGATTTTGAGATAGATTGTTGTAAATTTTAGAATAGATTTTAATGCACATACAACATACATTTCACTGTATCTCTATCTGCTCTTGTTGAACAAGTACAGAAATATGCTCTATACTTTTACTTTATTGTAGGTCTGAAAAGAAAGCAACCCACACTGATTGGTATATTGAATACAAGGGCATGTGTATTTTGATTACGTTTGAGGACAAAGTTCAAATGATCAGCATCATTAGAAGAAATGGGTTAATATATACCAGGTACTGGAGCACCAGCAAATCTGGCTATGCAAGTAGATTTTGCTATATCGTCAAATCTGACTATACATATATAGGGTAAACATACCAGTGAGGTCCGGCCACATTTCTTTTGTGTAGATCGTAAAAAAGGTTAACGAATCCTGTAAATCAGTGAAATTAATGTTTTTGGCATATTTGCTCAATTTCAGGCAATTTTTGAAAAATTTCATTGTTATATATTTTCAAGATCCATGTACACTCGCTATTTAGTAACAAACTCTATAACCAGTCCATCCAAAATGGCATCATTCACTCACTGTGTCTTTTGCATATAAGCATCCCTTTGATACAGTTTCGGGCCATCTGTGCACTTTCAGTGTGGTGTTTCCATGCAAAATATTTATAGCCCACAGTGAATATGAAAAGTGTGATGACAGCAAATGAAATATGAGAAATTTAAATCATGTGTGACAGGTACATATATATTCATTATCTGTAGTGGAACGGGAAAACACCAGTTTCCATTTTTTAGCGTATTCACTTGTTGTGCCTGTGCCACGTTGGTCCTGTGTGCACATCCTGTGTACGTCCCGTGTACATCCTGTCTTGTCCATATTTGGTGTTGTTATTTAGTTATATGTTAATTAGGGTGTAAGTTGTGGAGAAAGCATGCGAGTGTGAAAGTTAATTAATAAAACCTTTTACAACCGTGCATTTGTCACAGTCAGCCACAGACCAGGGTGGGGACCTTGTACAGGTCTTGGAAGGTAATTAAACGTTATATTCGATTAATAGTTGCAGAATTTGGAATCATAATTGTTTAATTATTCCACATCGGTCCAAATATTTCCAGTTATTGTCATACAGAACACACACCTAATAGGTATTTTTATAAGGCTGTTTGTTTGTTTTTTAGGGTTTTCTTCCATGTATGTCCACCTGTTATAAATAAATAAATACAAGGAGCAGAACGACTGGTTGTTTTCTTTGCCCTGTGACACATGAATGAAGGAAATTTCATGTCTCACCTTCAGAATATGTGGATAAAGGGATACAAGTACCATGTATTGCAATGACAAAATTCTACCATATCACAGGAAACGGTGTCTTATGAAAAAAAAATCTGTTTCACCAATGCCCTAGAGTCGTCCATTTATGATGTGCACACCATGATCAAAACCAGGTATGGCTCAGTTGCTTACATTTGGCCTATATAGGTATAATCAGATTTGACGATATAGCAAAATCTGCCAGAGCTCCAGTACCTGGTATACAGGGAGTCAGAGACCCTAATGATAAGTTGTAGCAACCTTTTTCTTCTGGTATATTGCAGAAACACGGACTGGACATATCCCCCAATTTTTTTGCTCCGGAAAATTATATCTTTTTTTGAATACTGAAGACGTTATCTATCTTGGTTTTCGGCCAGTGTGAGTTTAATGTATTTGGGACCATTTCTACCTTGGAATGTTTGTGTCTTTCTTGCATCAAAAAGTGCATTTTAGAACCTTTGGAAAACAAACAATGAATTAGGACTCTACCGTGTGACAACTGTTCAGCGACATGCTTATTACTAGTACCTGTGTGGTTTTCATTGGTACAGGCAAGACTCTACCTATGTTTTACCACCACTATTGACTTTGATCTGACCATGGGTAAAACAGGAGCAAGAAGTTGTATTTCGAGTGCTGTTAAGACGACAGAGGAAAGATTAGAGGAAATTACAGCGATGATCTCCAATATTGCGACAAAAACTTCGATATGTTAAAGGAGACCGTTTACCGGTTTGATGTAAATAACATTTTTAATTTTATTGTAATGGAATATATATTATTTTGTGTCAAAAATTTCATTTGGCGACATGCCAAAATTATAGTATCAGTATTTGAATAAGTTTCAATTATGGAATGAAAATGTGGTTATACCAGCTGCTATTCTGACTCTAAATTCCACATCGTCCAAAAGATCAACTGCTTTAGCCCTCATATCAACGACAAAATCGTCAGTTGTATTTCCACTTAGCAGCAGTGCCTTGGATCCCATGAGAGCTCCATGTTTTGTCTCCCATTGAGTAGTACTGTCAGCCAACAAATTAATAAATTTTTGTTCTAGATCACAGAGTCCATCTTCCTCCAATGTATGAATATGGCTCAGTAAGTTTTGGTATCCGCGATCTCGGTCTAATTTTGCCGAACTGCACAACTTTTGTAGTATTTCGTCGGCCATGTTGTCATTCAAATATCGGAATATCTTATCTTTTAAGCAGAAACCTATCGTAATATCAGAAAGGTTCCGAAGAATGAATATTGACAAAAATGTGTTACGTATTTTGATTGGATAATCTAACTTAAAGGACCAATCAAAAGCCTGCTAACAGATATGACAAAGGTGAAGGTTGTACGCGGCGTGTTCATAAATCGGAGAAACATCACAACTAGTGATTCTTCAAACGAAATAAAAAGCCTCCTCAACCATGGGAGTTCCTGCATTCTTCCGATGGTTGAGCAAGAAGTATCCTTCAATCATTGTGAATTGCATCGAACAGAAGGTAATTTCTCAAAACATGACGCTGAAGTAAGGAAAAACTGACCAGATATGCTAAATGATATTGTGAGTTACTGCAAGCGAAATGGTTAATGCATTTAATACAAAATGTTTAATGCGAGATGTTTTGACCATAAAGTAGTTTTATTGAATACAACCGAACTGGAAATGATGCACAAAACGTCCGTGGGTGTTTGTAGGCCTAGAACAGCCGTAGAGCGTTCAACATCTCCAATTACCTGACCGTATAATAAAGTCTGGACACTCAGCATTTCACATGAAGCGGATCACATTATACGTTTCTTGTAAAGAATTTCAAATAAAGCATCACAAGAAAGCAATCCGTTATGCCCCCCCAAAAAATACCAAAATAGAACAAATACAAAACAAATGGCAGTCATGTTCACTCTAAACATTGATGTGAAGTCGATATGACAACATTTAATACCCCAAAACTTCAGAGTTATTTATACCCTCCAGTAAGAGATTAGAGAAATTTAGTAATCGTTTTGTTTCAATATCTTTGTGTATAAGATATTTCATATACCCACAGACAAATTTATTTAACATTCTCACCATGATATTACTTCATCAAGGACTATATCTGATTGATTTTCAGTGATTATCAGTCAAGGTTGAAGAATAAAGGCCACCCTATACGGGTCAGACAATTTACAGGATTAGACAGGATTGTCAGAATCGAGCAGAATAGGGGAAGAATAGTGCCGTTCTAATGATTTTAATAAATTGAATATCATCATGTTAAACATTATGAATAGTTTTTAAGAAAAAATGAAGACGTATTACATAAAACACTCATATCTGTTTTGGGTGGGCAAGACTGAAAGATGATTTACAGGATCTGGCAGAATCGGGCTGTCTATATTTAGAATTTGGGCATTTAATTGTTTTTAGTGTAAATATTTTTTTTTTAAATGACCATTATTAAAATTTTCAAATTTCAAATTGACCAAAAACGACCAAAATATTGTATTTCCGCAGAACGTACTGTGCCGCACAAGACCGAAAGATGATTTACAGGATCAAGCAGAATTGTTGTAGAATAATGCAGTTTTAATGATTCTAATGAATTTCTTTTGCATTAATACCATCATATGTTTAACATTATTAACTGTTTTTACATAAAAAGGAAAAATGAAGATGTATTACATAAAATGTTCATATCTGTTTTGGTCATGCAAGACCGAAAGACGATTTACAGGATTGGGCAAAATCGGGTGGTTTTTATGTAGAATTTGAGCATTAAATTGTTTTTCAGTGTAACTATTGTGGTGTTAAATGATCTTAGTTAAAATGTTATAGTAAAGCGACCCCATACCACTTTTTGTAATAAAGAAAACGTTTGTGTGCAAGGTTTGTCATGAACCACGGGTTAGATTTAGTTCATTTTTACAACACATTTTTAAAACACATTGTCCATAGCATCATCCCACCAAGGTCAACACCAGATTAGATTTTAGTTGTCATAGGTCAAATTCAAAAAATGATACCTTGACCTCTTTTGAAATGGAAAGCTGGCGTAAAAGAAGACCAGCTCCAGCCTGTAGTAAAATGCAGATACAACTAAATGAAAGATTGTAAAGTGATAACTGTACTTGACTCTTCCTGAAATCAACAAAGTATTTTTGTGATATTGTGATGACTTACTTGTCATTTCTGGGCTCTCAAACCCCATTTTGGGACTGGGGCTTGGGGTCCTTAGAATTGGGGAAAATAACAGCATTTTCCTTAGAATTGGGAAAACTTGGGGTCTAAATTGGGAAAAAAAATATTATTTTGCATTGGGAATGGGGCCGAATATCGGCCGCAAATCTGGCAGATCAAGAGCACTGCATTTTTTGCCATCACCAGTAGTACATGGTAATGCATGGGGTGAAATGGTCTCTTAACGTGAAATAAGGTAATATTAATGTAGATCCATCACTATCAAAACTATTGATAATTACAACTCCTGTAATTATAACTGATATTCAAATAATTTAGTTTGATATTTTTTTGTTTTGAAACCAAGCAGAGTCAGTACCATGATAACTGCTTTTTATGCTAAGAGCATTTTCAATGCTCTTCAGCATGTTGCTGTCGCCCCTGAGGCTGAGTATCAGTACTTCGTTTTCATTGGTTCATAAATCGAAAGTTTACTCCTACTCCATCTGTCGGACATTACTGTAATAATTGGATTATCGCCCCTACAAGTTGCTGATGCTAGTCATTAAATGAAACAATCTTATCAACATTTTCTTCATTACTTGTACATCAAGAAAACGTTTTGTGTTGTGTATTAATGATAATCAGACATCGAAATTTGTAAATACAATGACAAAGACTCATGTTTATGGTGGTAAATTTTGCGAGGCGATGCCAATATGGCGGCTTAACTTTCTTTTCCGCTCGATGCATTGTGGGTGTCATATACATTTGTATATCTTTCTTTTTTTCTTTTTTCGATAATTTACTTCCCGTTTAATACTGTTGAAAACTGTTAAAGATACTGAAATATGTAGTTGAAAATAAAAATGAAACTAAAATAAGAATGATTTAGAGTAGCATAAAATTTTGACGGAAACAGCCGGGGTGCTCTGTGCTGCTGGACCCTGAAAGAAGACGGCGGCTGAAAGAAGATGGCGGGTAATTTATGTAGGTAAGTATCACTATATATATATATGTAAGCTGATTTAAAGTCAATACTTATACTGAACTAGCAATTGCATTTTTTGCAACAATTAATTTGGAATGAGCCTTCGCATGTATTGAATTTAGACTCGACGGCGACGCGCAAGCTGGGCACTGCCGCCATGGCACTTTTTTTTCAAAATATTTTCAAGACTTTTCCTTTGAAGCAATATGCATTTGAAAAATGTTACGTAAGCATCTAGTACATTTTTGTTGCTTCCGTAAAGTATTTCAGTATTTTGAAATGGATTTATTTTTGAAAGATCGTTTCATAATGGTCTCATCGCAGTCACTTCTGTCAGTGGCCCAACAAATCGGAAATTAACCAGAAAAAAACTTATCCGTAATATTGTACTGTACTACTTGCGCTACCGTGAAAAGACCTAGGAATCTATCTGTGTAATATATCGATTTTACTTTAAAATATCGGTCACTGTCCACGCTATTGTAGATCTAGCTCTTTCAAATTTCTGATCAGAGATAATTTATAAGTACCCCAAGGCCAGGGTATGAAATCATACGGGAACTGTACAGCTATGCTAATTGTAAGGTTTACATGTGAAGTTGATATATATAGTTTTAGCTTAAATTTAGTTTTTGTCTTTTTGACATGATGTCTCGTTGATTCTGTTGAAGAGTGATGCATGTGAACGATTACAATATGAAGATTGGAAATAATGAAGATGTCAATTAACATCTGAATCCCGTAAAGTGTTTTAATAAAGATTAGGATAAACCTAGCAAAGTGTTAGGTCCCAGTGTGAATGTGTAAAGTGTAAGGTCCCAGTGTGAATGTGTAAAGTGTAATTGGTACAATTGAACTTTTCATATATGTACTGTATTTGTTCATCTCAGAAATTTAAGTATTATGTCAACTGCGTCCACTTTCAGTTCAACACTTTTGATTCATTTTTGAAAAACCTCTACTGTAGCTAAATGTGGCATTTGTAATAGACAGCCAAAGTTAATTTTGTGATAGACGTAGCCAAAGTTAATTTTAGGATCAGTTAGGACAGCTACTGTTTGTAACAGGCATGGGTTCAATTACATGATGATGTAATTAATTAAATTACAATTATATTATGAAAATGGCATTGCCATTACATGACGGTCCAATGTAATCAATTAAATTACACATTACTTTTCAAGTCATAATAATTTTTGAAATACAAACGTCAAAATAAATTATCATACTGCACAGATTTATCACACGAATTTAACTTTATGATTCAATCTCTGTATGACCATGGTCAAGATATTATTATTTTCTAGCTGTCCATCGCTTAATAATTTGACAGTCCTGAATGTCAAAATAATTAATTACAGTATATTTAATATAGACTCCTATTGGGAAGTTCAATACTATAAGCTTATACAAAAGTGTGTATTTCTTGCACATAATCATAGCAATAAAGAAATATAAATATTTATTTCCCTTACTCTCTTTCAGCAGGTGGATGTCCCTGAAGAAATGAAATCTGGAATGGTAGAAGGTATCTCTTGATTCTTCTAACTTGGAATTGGCCATTGTGACCAACAATGGATTTGAGGACCTTATGGTGGAGAAAAATGTCCTTCTTTCCAACCTCCAATTTGATGTTGAAGATGATTAATCACTTGAGGAGATGCTAACAACCATGTTGCCTTTTAAGGTCACAGTACTTTCTAAAGGCGGCAATATATTAACCATCACAAAAGAAGAATCAACAAATGGCGGAAACTAAAAAAATGTGGAAAAGATCATTGTATACTGCATTTGTAGTAAATTTGTATACAATCTTCAATTTACTTGAGTAGAAAGATTCACTAGTTATACCAAGTTTTTGTAGAAAGGATCACTGTATACTGAGTTTGTAGTGTACATAGAAAGGTTTACTTATTTTTTTTTTGTGTTTAGTGTATACAATATATAAAAAAAAAACTTTTTGTAGAAAATATCACCGCATACTGAGTTTGTTGTTTACAAATGTGTAGAAAAGATCGCTGTATACCGAGTTTATAGTTTACAATTGTCTAGAAAATTCACTGTATACTGAACATAATACGACTTCTGTTTAAAACCTTCATTTAAACTTAGACATGTATTTTTTTTATTTATCTTAAAAGTCTACCTACAACAATTTTGTGTATGCAATCTTGTACTAGGATATTGACATGACAAGATTACATTGCTGATCAAAGCATGGAAAGAATACTGAATAAAGAAAACAAGATATAAGCATTCTTATCATGTTTTTATTTTCATTATTATCATTATTATTTTTCCATGATGTCTGTCCACATGGAATTTGTAAGCACTCTTGTGCATTCTTATACCACCAAAAGGGTGGGTTAAATCGAATCAAGTTGTCCATCTGTCCATCCATCTGTTTGTCTGTCTGTAGACACATCTTGTCTAGACAACTCCAATGAAACTTTACAGTAATATTCGGGACAATGTGTAGATGTGCATGCACCATTTTCCCCTCGAAATATTGATTGCCATGGCAACTGGTCAATATAGACAGGTTTTGCATGTTGGTCAACTTCTAAACCTGTGGACCAATTTCAACAAAACTTTGCAGGAATATTAGGGAACATGTGCACATGCCGCTGTGTTTCAGAGGATATTTCTGTGCAAAAGGTTACCATGGGGAGATAACTAAGGCTGTGGGTGTTGGGGGTATTAGTTATCATTTGGATTATAGTTTCAGTTATCCCTGGGCAATGTGGAGAGGATATAGTAAGGATATTGAGGATTGACTGTAGAGGTCACAGTACTTGCATAAGTACTATATGATTACCTTGTAAATGCATTGAGACCAAGACAGTTAGTATACCTTACTCAAATTTGGAACATGTATCCCTTATGAGGAGAAGTCGGTTTCTTTAGAAATTTAGGGTCAGATGTCAAAGATCAAGGTCACAGTCAAAAAACAGATAGTTGCATAGGGATGTTTTTCCTTTGCATTACCCTCGTTTTTCTATCAAATTTCACAACCTAAAAGATATTCACATCTTGCAAATTTCAAGGTTCAAGGTCACTGTAAGGATGTTAAAAAATGATAATACAAGAGGAATAAAATATCTTGTGACAAGTTTTAGAGAACAAAGAATATATAAACATGAAAAATTGGAACAAAGACAATATCTACTTGAAGATTCCCTGAAAAAGTACAAGGAGAATAAAACCAGGTTTTCCGGAAGAATAGGCATCTTCTATTTTAAGTTATGGTGACAAGTCATGTTTGTTTTAGAAAATTGGCACTCTTATGCAGTCATTTACAAACAATCTGGAAAATGAAGCTGTCCAATATTTGTATGTAGCATGTTATTTGCATGATGGTCTAACTAATGGTCTTAAACCAATAAGATACGCAGTCTTTAAAGTGTTAATATGGTGTCCAAGATCAACATTCCCTACAATGTATCCAAAGAAATGGACAACTTCCCTATCATTGCATCCTGGAGCCTACTTGGGACATGTATTACAAAAGTAATACTACTATGCTTGTTATTTCTGATATCTGCTGGTCATTTTTTAGAGGCTGCAATGATTTACTGCTTGCATATAGTTGGTTTCAGTATATAGCAAGCTAATAACAAAGAATTTATTTTTGAATGGTCTTAGCATACCAGTACTTTCAGTACTTTGATTTGAAATAGCCATATCTGAAGTCAATTTTGTGATTAGCTTCTCCTTACGAACATTTACTTATCCTTAGCTACTTCATGTCTTCTGTAAATGCTTGTTTAATCAATAAAATTTTCATATTTCACAATCAAAATCATAATGTTACATCTGAAACATTGTTTCAGCATATTCTTATAGCCATCTGAAAATATTTAACATGTATGGAAAGCATGTCATAATGCTTTAAACAGAATCTTAACTGGATGAACCTCTGAGATGATGAACTGCACTGTGACACTACCAAGAGATTTGAATAAAGTTTTGAAGTTCTTGGGTTATTAATGGAGTTTGAAACAAAAGAACTTACATGTGATATGTGGTAACATGTTTTTATGATATCACATTTCTTTTCTATCATTACAGCATCTCTTTATGGTAGTATAATGTGTGGACTCTTTAGATTTTTCTTGGTACAAACTGTTGATTCCACAGACTGGAAATGCCTAGGGCTAACATAATTAAGATTAGAAAATTCTTCAGCTTTAGAAAGAGGATTACATTGTGATTGGATATTTATCATGTTATGTTATTCGTTTCTAATGTGATGTTTATTTGTAACAGGCGAAAGAAGTTGATGGTCAGAAGATACCAGTGGATACCAGCCAGCCAAATCCAAATGACTATGAATTTGACAATTTATACCTTGACATGAATGGAATCATCCATCCTTGTTGTCATCCTGAAGACAAGTAAGTGATGCATTGATCAAGTGTCATACCTCTTATTCATGTAATACAAGATTCCTGAAATTAGACAAAATGGAAAAATATGAAACATCAAGACATCCATGTAATATTTGATTCTAAAGACAAGTATGTAATGTACAACAGCAAAAGGATAATATATCATTTGTCATTTATATGTATATGATGCTTTGATCATTAAAGACAGATTTTTATTTATCATTTATCTACCAATTTGATAACATGATTAGTATTTTCACCTTTATCATCTTCCAGTGAGCAGAAAGGTGAAGATTTGTAGGCTATCTTATTTCCATTTGTAGGCCTGCTCCTAAGAATGAAGATGAAATGATGGTTTTGATTTTTGAGTTCATAGACAGAATCTTTGCTATTGTGAGACCTAGAAAAGTTTTGTATATGGCAATTGATGGTGTGGTAAGTAAGAATTTTCATAAGACAAGTTTTCCTGAGTATCATAACTTAGATTAGGCTATAAAAAAGTTGACTTAACCTTGATTTAATTTAAGTTAATTTAACAGATCCTGATGGTACAAATTGAAGTTTGGATTCTGTTCTAAAACTGTTGTTCTGGATACAACAACTTGCTTAACAATAAACCCTGCAAGCAAACAAATCTGGAACCAACAAGTAGGTATCACTGTATCAGAATATGGGAAGGAACTAGCAAACGTTTTAGAATGGGCATTATTTATTATCATAGTAACGTGAGTTTTAAGTTAGTTTATGGTCATGTATAATATCCATTACGTACAGGCACCACGAGCAAAGATGAACCAACAAAGGTCAAGGAGATTCAGGGCCTCGAAGGAAACCATGTAAGTACAAGTATTTTTATGATTTAAATAAAATGGAGTTATCTCTTGTCATTGTGTTTTCTAGAATTGTTAAATTCAACAAAACTTGTATTTCAATATTACTGATATTAGAACTATAGGTGTCAAACGTTTGTTAACCTATCTAAAAGTTGAATGATGAATGAAATCTGAATGAAGTAATACATGAAATATCTGAGAAAGGCTGTCTTTCATATCTGTAGAGTGAAATCTGATGATAGATTGCAGTGATATTGTAAATGGCAATGTGTCGGTTACAGTGAGAAGAAAGAGGAGATGGCTGAAATGCGAGCCCAGCTTGAAGCCAAAGGCTGCAGTTTACCTCCTCCTAAGCCTCCAGGGGAGCATTTTGACAGTAACTGTATTACACCGGTAGGTAGTCTACAGTGAAATTTTTTTCTTTACATTAATCTATATCAATCTTGCCAATAACTGGACAAGCATTGAAATAATTAGAAACACAAACGAAGCAAAAGTATGGAAATCATTTATTTCCATATTTGAAGGAGAGGTATGGAATATTATAATAATGATAATAAGCATTGGAGTAAAACAGTAATTCTGTTTCAAATGTTAGGGCACACCATTCATGTTCAAACTGGCTGAGTGTCTGATCTACTACATCTACGACAGACTGAACACAGATCCTGGATGGCAGAACATTAAGGTTATCTTGTCTGATGCAAACAGTCCGGGGGAGGGGGAGCACAAAATTATGGACTTCATTAGGAAACAGAGAGGTAAGGATGGATAGGGAAAACTGTACATTTTACAAGTAAAAGGATGAAAACTAAATTTTGCCAGAAAATGAGGCCAAACTAAATTTTAAAGAAAAATGTGACAAAACAGTGAATTCCAAAGAAAAAGGGCAAAACTGTAAATTTTACAACAAAATTAGACAAAAACTTTAAATTTGATGAGAAAAGTGAGACAATAATTATAGATTTTACAAGAAAAATAAAACAGGATGTTAAGTTATCATATACTGATACAAGTTAGATAGAGTAGGATCGTTTATATACAAGATAGAGTAGGATCGTTTATATACAAGATAGAGTAGGATCGTTTATATACAAGATAGATAGAGTAGGATCGTTTATATACAAGATAGATAGAGTAGGATCGTTTATATACAAGATAGAGTAGGATCCTTTATATACAAGATAGATAGAGTAGGATCGTTTATATACAAGATAGAATAGGATCGTTTATATACAAGATAGAGTAGGATCGTTTATATACAATATAGATAGAGTAGGATCGTTTATAAACAAGATAGATAGAGTAGGATCGTTTATATACAATATAGATAGAGTAGGATCGTTTATATACAAGATAGAGTAGGATCGTTTATATACAAAATAGATAGAGTAGGATCGTTTATATACAAGATAGAGTAGGATTGTTTATATACAAGATAGAGTAGGATCGTTTATATACAAGATAGATAGAGTAGGATCGTTTATATACAAGATAGAGTAGGATCGTTTATATACAAGATAGAGTAGGATCGTTTATATACAAGATAGATAGAGTAGGATCGTTTATATACAAGATAGAATAGGATCGTTTATATACAAGATAGAGTAGGATCGTTTATATACAATATAGATAGAGTAGGATCGTTTATATACAAGATAGATAGAGTAGGATCGTTTATATACAAGATAGAGTAGGATCGTTTATATACAAGATAGATAGAGTAGGATCGTTTATATACAAGATAGAATAGGATCGTTTATATACAAGATAGAGTAGGATCGTTTATATACAATATAGATAGAGTAGGATCGTTTATAAACAAGATAGATAGAGTAGGATCGTTTATATACAATATAGATAGAGTAGGATCGTTTATATACAAGATAGAGTAGGATCGTTTATATACAAAATAGATAGAGTAGGATCGTTTATATACAAGATAGATAGAGTAGGATCGTTTATATACAATATAGATTGAGTAGGAACGTTTATATACAATATAGATAGAGTAGGATCGTTTATATACAAGATAGAGTAGGATCGTTTATATACAATATAGATAGAGTAGGATCGTTTATATACAAGATAGATAGAGTAGGATCGTTTATATACAATATAGATAGAGTAGGATCGTTATACAAGATAGATAGAGTAGGATCGTTTCATATACAAGATAGATAGAGTAGGATCGTTTATATACAATATAGATAGAGTAGGATCGTTTATATACAAGATAGAGTAGGATCGTTTATATACAAGATAGATAGAGTAGGATTCTTATATACAATATAGATAGAGTAGGATCGTTTATATACAAGATAGATAGAGTAGGATCGTTTATATACAAAATAGATTGAGTAGGATCGTTTATATACAAGATAGATAGAGTAGGATCGTTTATATACAAGATAGATAGAGTAGGATCGTTTATATACAATATAGATAGAGTAGGAGCCTTTATATACAATATAGATAGAGTAGGATCGTTTATATACTATATAGATAGAGTAGGATCGTTTATATACAAGATAGATAGAGTAGGATCGTTTATATACAATATAGATAGAGTAGGATCATTTTGATACAAGATAGATAGAGTAGGATCGTTTATATACAATATAGATAGAGTAGGATCGTTTATATACAAGATAGATAGAGTAGGATCGTTTATATACAAGATAGATAGAGTAGGATCGTTTCATATTTGTTGACACTTCAATAAGACAGTTCTACATTAATTGTGATGTTACATTTTATAGATGGTAATGTTTCCAAATCTCTGCAATACAAATATGTTTGTATTTTGTTATTAATCTAAGAAACCTTTGATATTTTGTGTACATTTATGTGGAAATCAAATACTGGTTTTCCATTTGTTTTGCAGCACAACCAGACCATGACCCGAACACCAAGCACTGCCTTTGTGGGGCTGATGGTGAGAACCATGTTTATCAACGTAGATGTGAATAGATCAAAGTCTTGAAACAAACTTGCAATTTACCGAAAATGGAGATATTTTCATACACCTAATATATACTGTAAAAATTCAAAATTATAGGCAAATGAAATGAGATACAATCTCCAAAATATGGTATGTAAATGATCAGGAGCTTGATTAGAATTAAGAACAAAAAACCCCATGTTTTTAGATGAGTCTTTGTAGCTTGCTTTATTTTACCAGCTGAACAGAGAGTTATCCAAAGTGAAGTAGTTAGTTTTCATTTGTGGTTATGGTCAACTGTTTACAGATGTTTGTTTACTGCGCTGGACTGTTTCAAAATTCTGTAATTAAATATATATTTTATTTGCACAAGGTATTATAACATTTTGGACTGAATTGGTGATGTTTAAAAAGTTTATCAAATTATATGTGATATATCAGTGATGAGATTCTAAGTAAATATTTATTCTTTTTCAGCTGATTTAATTATGTTGGGTAAGTACCCTATCTATATATATATAGATAGATATAGTTATGAGTACTCAGAAATAATTACAATAACCCAGTGTAAATTAGAAACATTAAACTGAGGACTGACTAATATCAGATTGATATCTGATGGGGATCAGCATCATTTCCAGATCTCCCTGTTTGATGCAGTCCCACACACATATGTAGAATAATGCCCTGTAGTCAGGCCAAGTAAGGGCACCGAGATACACCTTATTCAATGTAAATTGTGCACAGGAAGACAATTCAAAAACCCAATAATTAACATAGGCTTCTTTCGCTGTTTTAAGTCCCGACTGATGATTTATAATACTTTCAGAGATAAATTATCTCTCTATGTGTTTTCTCTAACAAGGTTTGGCTACACATGAACCTCATTTCACTATCATCAGAGAAGAATTTAAACCCAATCAGCCAAAACCGTGTGAACTCTGTGGACAAATTGGTGAGTACAATACCAAAATAAATAAGTAAGTAATAAATAAGTAACCCATGTAAACATATAATATGTCTACATTTCTGGGAATGTTTAAGCCAAAACAAAATGGTTATTTTTTGAAAACTAAGCCCTGATAACCACTTCTGGTATGTTTCACTGTAGTTTGTAACTGCTTTGGATTTTGATAGCATTTTATTCTGCAGTTTACAACTAAAATTCTGTTTTGTAGGTCATGAAATGAAAGAATGTGCAGGTTTACCAAAAGAAAAAAAAGGAAAAGTAGGTACATAAAACTGATTGAATTTTTTCTGTTATTTGATATCTAGATGTTGCTTTGTGTACCATTCCTAGTTCAAGTGAGAAAATTATGTATGATTGCACCAGTTTAGGAATTATTCTTATCTGATATTTACACAGTACCAGCCATAGGACTTGGATAGTGCCTGTTTGTGTTGATTTCTATATTTCATCTGTTGGATTAATCTATTGACAGGGAGATGAGGTGAAGCCTTTTGTAGGAGAAGAACAACAGTACATCTTTGTAAGGTTGAATATACTACGGGAATACCTAGAGCGTGAACTTGTCATGGATACTCTCTCATTTCCGTACGATTTTGAGGTACTGTATACTCGTACTAATACCTGTATATATCAGATGAACTTTTTAAAAAGATATCAGAAAAATGATTTATATTTTAGAATTTATATCACTCATGTAAATCTGAAATATTCAATTTAAGATTATCTTCTTCAATTATGTTATATTGATATTACCTGTGATTACTTCCCCTTTGAATTATCTGTTTTGGCGACTTGAGGTCATGTATGATGAATTTTAAACAACATGAATGGTACTTTTTTTATCTTTGATTCATCATTAAATGTTCATGAATTAGTTATAATTTTTTCTAGTTCACCTGGCCCTAGAATCTTTATATATGACTTTAAAGTTCCTTTGATGAAGCCCAACAAAGTTTGGAAAAAAAATAACCTTGACCCATATTCATGGTCACAGAGGTCAAATGTGTTAAAACCTTTAAATGACTTTTCCAAAATACCGGAAGACCTAGAATCTTTATATATGGCTTTAAGGTTCCTTTGATGAAGCCCAACAAAGTTTGCAGAAAGAAATTACCTTGACCCATATTCACGGTCACAGAGGTCAAATGTGTTAAAACCTTTAAATGACTTCTTCCAAAATACCGAAAAGGCCTAGAATCTTTATATAGGGCTTTAAGGTTCCTTTGATGAAGCCCAACAAATTTTGTGAAAAAAATAACCTTGACCCATATTCAAGGTCACAGAGGTCAAATGTGTTAAAACCTTTAAATGACTTCTTCCAAAATACCGAAAAGGCCTAGAATCTTTATATAGGGCTTTAAGGTTCCTTTGATGAAGCCCAACAAATTTTGTGAAAAAAATAACCTTGACCCATATTCAAGGTCACAGAGGTCAAATGTGTTAAAACCTTTAAATGACTTCTTCCAAAATACCGAAAAGGCCTAGAATCTTTATATAGGGCTTTAGGGTTCCTTTGATGAAGCCCAACAAATTTTGTGAAAAAAATAACCTTGACCCATATTCAAGGTCACAGAGGTCAAATGTGTTAAAACCTTTAAATGACTTTTCCAAAATACCGGAAGGCCTAGAATCTTTATATAGGGCTTTAAGATTCCTTTGATGAAGCCCAAGAAAGTTTGCAAAAAGAAATGACCTTGACCTACATCCAAGGTCACAGAGGTCAAATGTGTTAAATCATTTAAACTACTTCTTCCCCAATACTAAAAGGCCTAGAATCTTTATATAGGGCTTTAAGGTTCCTTTGATGAAGCCCAACAAATTTTGTGAAAAAAATAACCTTGACCCATATTCAAGGTCACAGAGGTCAAATGTGTTAAAACCTTTAAATGACTTCTTCCAAAATACCGAAAAGGCCTAGAATCTTTATATAGGGCTTTAAGGTTCCTTTGATGAAGCCCAACAAATTTTGTGAAAAAAATAACCTTGACCCATATTCAAGGTCACAGAGGTCAAATGTGTTAAAACCTTTAAATGACTTCTTCCAAAATACCGAAAAGGCCTAGAATCTTTATATAGGGCTTTAGGGTTCCTTTGATGAAGCCCAACAAATTTTGTGAAAAAAATAACCTTGACCCATATTCAAGGTCACAGAGGTCAAATGTGTTAAAACCTTTAAATGACTTTTCCAAAATACCGGAAGGCCTAGAATCTTTATATAGGGCTTTAAGATTCCTTTGATGAAGCCCAAGAAAGAAATTTCTTCTGAAATATCAAAAAGCCTTGAATCATTATATTTGGCCAGTATGTTCAAGAAAGTTTGCAAAAAGAAATGACCTTGACCTATAGTCAAGGTGACATGTGTCAAATTTGTTAAACCTTCAAATGACATTTTCTGATTATCCAAAACATCTAGGATAGTGATTATATTCTGAAATAGGTTCTCTATGATGCCTGGTAATATTTGAGATCAGAAATGACCTTGACCCATACTCAAGGTCACAACAGTCAAATGTGTTAAACCTTTGATCAACTTCTGATTAACCTAAAGGCCTAGGACCATAATATTTGGCCAAAAGATTCCCTTAATTGTGCTCACATAGTGTTTGAAAAAATAGCTTGACCCAGAATGATATTTAAGGTCATTGGGGTTAAATTTGGTAAAATGATTAACAACCTCTGATTGACCAAAGGCTATCATATTTGGCCAGTAAAAGTTTCACAAAAGCTGATATACAAATATGTAGAACCTTCCAATGACTTAATAAAGGAATATATTTGGCTGGGAATTCTCTTGGCATAATTTGGAATAAATTATAAAGACCTTTCACAGTGATGTCACACTGTTCTAAAAAATAGATTAGGCCAAGCCCCCTGGAGGTCTGAGAGTCTTGAGCTTAGTAATGTGAAAAACTACATGTAAGCCAATTACCTATGTTCTATTCACAGCATTAAAATACAGAAAACATGATTGGAAAGAGAATTGCAAGAGCTTCTTTTTGATTTAAGATTCTTCATAATCATAGCGTAAATAAATAAGAAATTCTAAGTTGATCCCATTTGCGAGGCAGTGTTTATAGGCCTACAGTAAACTGTTATCAGTATATCTCCAGTAACCGGGGCTTAACTGACCATGGTGACATCACTAATGATATGCATGAAATGTTTTATTATTGGTTTTGAGTTAGGATTATGGTTTATAATTACATGTACCTTAATTTTTCCTGCCTTATATTTAATTGTTGCTATATATTGTTGACTTGTGCAAGTCTCCAATGTGTTGTATCTGTGTTTGTAAACAATGATCTAAAGGGCAAGTAGGCTTCTGTTGTTCTGGGTCATTTGTCCAGCAATAACTAAGAGTTTTTCTGCTATATTGTTTGACCATCTTCTTTCCTTGATTTAAAAGAAAGCTATCAATTATATTTAACTGGAAACATCATAAGAACGTCTGAATTCAACATTGCACAGATGAGGGGGCTGACTACTAAGGAACAGAACCCATATGGAGTAATTTGTCATATTGCTTTAAGCATCTCCTGTGGAACATATGCACAGATATAGTACTGTTGGTCATAAAGATCTAGGTGAGCGATACAGGCCCTGTGGGCTTCTTGTATTAGGCCGGTATGTTCCATTTATGAAGCCCAAGAGAGTTTGCAAAAAGAAATGACCTTGACCCATAGTCAAGGTCACAGGGGTCAAATGTGTTAAACGTGGAACATACGCACAGATATAGTACTGTTGGTCATAAAGATCCAGGTGAGCAATATAGGCCCTCTGGGCCTCTTGTTTTTTTTTAAATTGGTATTTAGTATAGCTAGATTTTTTCTTGAGATGCTGTTTTAAAGTAAAACATATCCGTTTCACTTACTACAACAAAGCTGGAGAAAATATCTTTGTTTTTACCTGTTCTTTAAAAGCTGTCACACTGACTTTTACCTGTCCTTTAAAAGCTGTCACACTGGCTTTTACCTGTTCTTTAAAAGCTATCACACTGACTTTTACCTGTCCTTTAAAAGCTGTCACACTGACTTTTACCTGTTCTTTAAAAGCTGTCACACTGACTTTTACCTGTCCTTTAAAAGCTGTCACACTGGCTTTTACGTTCTTTAAAAGCTGTCACACGGACTTTTACCTGTCCTTTAAAAGCTGTCACACTGACTTTTACCTGTTCTTTAAAAGCTGTCACACTGACTTTTACCTGTTCTTTAAAAGCTGTCACACTGACTTTTACGTTCTTTAAAAGCTGTCACACGGACTTTTACCTGTCCTTTAAAAGCTGTCACACTGACTTTTACCTGTCCTTTAAAAGCTGTCACACTAACTTTTACCTGTTCTTTAAAAGCTGTCACACTGACTTTTACCTGTCCTTTAAAAGCTGTCACACTAACTTTTACCTGTTCTTTAAAAGCTGTCACACTGACTTTTACCTGTCCTTTAAAAGCTGTCACACTAACTTTTACCTGTCCTTTAAAAGCTGTCACACTGACTTTTACCTGTCCTTTAAAAGCTGTCACACTAACTTTTACCTGTCCTTTAAAAGCTGTCACACTGACTTTTACCTGTCCTTTAAAAGCTGTCACACTAACTTTTACCTGTTCTTTAAAAACTGTCACACTGGCTTTTATGTATTTCATATTTGTGTATTACAGCGGGCATTGGATGACTGGGTCCTCATGTGTTTCTTTGTTGGTAATGACTTTTTGCCTCATCTGCCGTCATTAGAAATCAGGTAGGTTTAATCATCTTGTTATGTGAAAGTTATCACATCAGGTCAGGGATTATTCATTCTCACCATGGACAGGTATATTCAGACTTCGGAACTCTGTGAGATTTCCATGTCTCAACTTGGGTTAAAACAGGGGGGATTCCTGTCAGGACAATGTTATAATGTCACTGTAACAATTCACTGACATCATGTCAACAATGGAATCACATCAATGATGTGAAGCATAAAGACAACATAACCTAATAAAGCCAGCAAATAATCATTCATTCCCTTGTTGATGAGATTGATAAAATCTATGACCTTTAACTGATCGAGATTAGGGTATCTCAGTCGAGGGCTAAGATCCTGTAACATAAATCCACCTGAGGCATTATCCGAGGTTAGGATGTTACATTTAAATTAATTAAATAGAATATTGTTGAAATTTTCATGGGTGTAGGTGCCACCTACACCTACACGCAGATGAATACACTTATGCATAAAAAATTCTGTGAAATCGCACGTAAAGGTACTTGACAGATCGGGCGAGATGGAAAAATCTAGGATGGTGTATTATGTGGGATATCCCTGTCTAAGGTGCTAGAAAAGGTGATCTTGATCATCGGGAAAAGATTTAGTCTTGTGTTAACTTATTCATCTTTCCCCTCAGGTTGTGGTCAGATCACCTTTCTCACCTCCAAGAGGGTGAAAGATTATCATTTCAAACTTCTCCACATGGACACATGTCGTAAGAGGGTCTTTTATGTTTTGTCTCAAATGAAAGACTTGTGTACAATATATAGGTGTTACCAGAATTTTCTTGCAGTAAGGTTTGTTATGTCATGTTGCATAGGAAAAATATATTACATAATTTTTTTTCAACATTACATAAAAGTTGTGAAGAATGTACAATGTAGAATGTCTGAATGTACAAGATTGCATGCCACAAAGTTGCATACACTTGATGATGTCGAAATTAATTGCAAACACTGTATTGTAACTTTCTGGTGTAAAATTTCCAGCTTAACTTACGATCAGAATGACAACAGCTTTACAGCATTCATATTGGGCTTATTTTTCAAGGTAGAAAATAATCGCATGTGAATTTTAAGTAATAATGGCACTTATTTACAGGGAAGGAGCTATTGATAGACTTCAACGCTTGTACAAAGATTGTGTCAGAAAGACTGGGGTAAGCTCTAGACTAAAACCTTAGAATAATATATTTAGATGGAAATTTAATACATCAGCAAAAAGTTATTAGTATAGTTATTAAAGTACATTTTGATTTATTTCACAAATTACACTGATCACAGTAAACTCATCCTTAACCTAAATGCAATGAAATAGCTGTTTACTCAATACTCAGTATCTAAAGGTTGTCATTAAAATGCTGAAACAAAAATAGAAGACAATTACAATGTCTATGAGTTAATGAAAAATTTGGGACAAAATTCATAAATCCCTTGTGTAAAAAGCAAATGTAAGGTTGTGTTAGATGCTTTGAAACATTTGTTAAAGCAGCATTGTATTTGACTGATACAAAATCTCAATTGTTGATATATTAACTTTTTGTCTATCTAGCCAATCACAGCACTGCTTATATTACATGTGTGTCCTAACCAAAATTTGCATTATCACTTTGATAGCAGTGTAGAAATGTTACTGCCAACTGTTTTATAATTCAGGGTTACCTAACAGAGAATGGTGTGTTGAACCTCAGTCGGGTACAGTTGGTTCTGTCAGGTAAGTCATATTTAGATGTACTGATTTCAGCATTATACTTCCTAACATTATATAGATAGTTAAATTGTGATACAATTCATAAATATTATCATTGCAGATTTTCTGCCTTTCTGACTTCGTAAAGTGGGAGTATTTAGTAATCACTTTGTCTTTTAACCCATCTGTTTGTAGCACCTGAAGTTTGATCTCATGATCCCTCAACATAATGTACCAGATCTCATGATCCCTCAACATAATGTACCAGATCTCATGATCCCTTAACATAATGTACCAGATCTCATGATCCCTCAACATAATGTACCAGATCTCATGATCCCTCAACATAATGTACCAGATCTCATGATCCCTCAACATAATGTACCAGATCTCATGATCCCTTAACATAATGTACCAGATCTCATGATCCCTCAACATAATGTTCCAGATCTCATGATCCCTTAACATAATGTACCAGATCTCATGATCCCTCAACATAATGTACCAGATCTCATGATCCCTTAACATAATGTACCAGATCTCATGATCCCTCAACATAATGTACCAGATCTCATGATCCCTTAACATAATGTACCAGATCTCATGATCCCTCAACATAATGTTCCAGATCTCATGATCCCTTAACATAATGTACCAGATCTCATGATCCCTCAACATAATGTACCAGATTTCATGATCCCTTAACATAATGTACCAGATCTCATGATCCCTCAACATAATGTACCAGATATCTTACTCTCAACATTTAGTCCATATTTACACCATGATGGACAGTGATAGGCAATTAAAAACAAAACATTGTGAAAGATCTGAGTTGTTTGGTTTGATCCCTACCAGGGAGGATTTGTTTTTCTCAGGTGAAGATCTGAGTTGTTTGGTTTGATCCCTACCAGGGAGGATTTGTTTTTCTCAGGTGAAGATCTGAGGTGATCACTACCTAATCTCTATAAAAAGACTATATAATTTAGTCCTGAGTGGTGACAGCTATAATTGGTCTTGTTTGATATGAAATGTGAGGGGCTCACCTGATGGTAAAGTGTATACTAATATTTAAAATATGTTTTTAATGAACATTTCGGTTCCAGATCTGGGTGAGGTAGAAGATGAAATTTTCAAAAGCAGAAGAAGCAAAGAGGTATTTGTGTTTTACAGGTCGTATTTAAATGTCAATGTTTATAAAGTTCTGGCCAAAGTTAACCTTGTTACAGTTAAATTAACCTCAACATAATCTGCTTTTGGGAGCCCTTTAAACTTGAAATTCTGGCTTTATGTTCAAATAGTTTGACAAGTATTTATTCCCATGTAGTTTCTTCTGAGTCATTATTAAGATCAAATGGAAAACTAAAAGGTTTTTTTCATCCTTTTTCCATTTTTAGATGTACTTCAGACAGCGTGACCGAGAAAATAAGCTGAGAGCCAAAAGAGTAAGTATATGTTTGTGTAACCTTTTTGACAACATTTAAAGACAGTGCAACATGACTTAAATATCTGTCAATACTAGCATTGTTTTTATCTAACAACAAGAAGTATCTATTAATGCACTGAGGAACAGAAACAAGCCTATCTCTGGTTTTTACAGAGAAAGAAACCTTAATTTCCTGTGGATTCATCGATGTTCAGAGGTTTTGTCTACAACTGATCTGGCCTGACAGCTCTTTTACACAACCTGTTAATATAACTATGGTTCAGCTATGATGTGAACATGTTTAAATGACATGATTCACTGATGTATGTTTTGATTTTAATTGTTATTTAAAATTTACTTTAAACTGTTCAACTCCTTTCTTCATTTGAAATGTAACAAAGATTGCAGGTTTTCTTTACTCCAGTCACGGGCATTTGTTGACAAAACATATCAGTTTTTATGGAAAAGAGATGTCCTTCATGACACTCCAGACATGATGGAGAGAAATATTGCTACTCATTTTTCATTTATCGATCAAATGACCCAGTTTGGTAAAAACTTTGTCGAAACAATACTACCTATCCAAACATTAAATACTAGTGTTAGGAGAACATGTTTTTAATGGCAGTAATTAGCGATGCTGTTATTTCTGCCTTTGCTAAAGTCATTTTAGATTGTAATTACATTATTAATATGATATACTGTTCTAGACTATGTCCATCATAAAAACACTTCTATTCTAATTTTCAGATGCAGGAAGGACCAAAATGGATTCCAGGTGGAGCGCTTACCCCTCAGCCTCTAGGACACTCCCACTCATCAAGGGATTCCAGAGGATACAGCAGTCGAGATGTCTCAAATGCTGATGCAGCACAGGCTCTCAAGGCCATGATGGTAAAAAATTGATTTTATACTTGTTTCACTAGTCCCTTTAATTCAGTCTTTTATTGAGTGAATACCAGGAAGTATTATTCCATTTCAATAGTTGTATGTTTAATTCTGTTAATATTTCACCTGACTACAAGTAACACAAAGACCTAATTTTCCACTACTTAACAAATTGTTGACAAATTTTCAGCACAACATCTTAAGAAATTTTACATTGATAGAGAAATCCAGAAAAGGCTGGTGATGATAAGAAAAAGGAAGAGGAAGAGGAAGATCCAGAGCCTCCAGATGATGTAAAGTAAGTTGTCATTTCATTGAAGTGAACATATACACACAGAAACTACATGTGAACAAGAGTGATATCAGAGACAGAATACTGTCACTGTGTTTATTTGTTTCAGGTTATGGGAAGCTGGCTGGAAGGATAGATATTACAGGAACAAGTTCAATGTAGGCAGTGACGACATAGCATTCCGACAAAATGTTGTAAGTACCATCATCATATCAGAAGTATAATTGAATTACTCTTTGTGTTTCATACCCTCACTTTGTCCAGACTTCAGCCATAGCATTAAGTCTTTCATTAACTTTTTCATTAAAAAGTTTCTGTTGTATAAGAATACCAAACACATTTTCAATAATTAATTTCCTTTCTAAGAGAGATAAACTAGGATTATTGTCTATTATTTTCACACATATTTCATTAAGTTTTGTGTGTATTTTGAAAAGGAAATAAAAAATAAATGCATATTGCCTATACAAGCCCTTACCTTGTAAGCATAATGACTGCTGGCCTGGACAGGTTTGTGAAAAGTAAATCCTGCTAATTTGTTACTAGAACTTGAAGTATTTTGATAGCATGTTCTCTGACCTGGTGATGAATTCATGAAATAATCCATTCAAAATGTTTAGGGATGAAAGGAAACTTGTCATGATAGATTCTCATTATGAAATTTACTTTAAACACACAAAAAAAATGGTAATCTGTTTGCTACATTTACAGGCAAACCATTATGTCCGAGGTCTATGCTGGGTGCTGAGGTATTATTATCAGGTATGTACATTGAAATATCTAGGTGTAAGTTCAAGGATTTGATGGACATTACAGTAGGTATAAAATGAGTTCTATCAGTGTTTACTTTTGAAAAAAACCTTATGGTTTGACAGGTGATCAATTTTATTTCATTCACAGCTATGGAATTGGACTTAGATTGTCATGGTGAAATTATAGTGTTTCCATCACACCACCTAACCACCCAATATTTATTTACTTATAAGTAGAATTGGCTGCTTGCACTTTTATCAATACACAGTCTCTTTAATTCTTTAGACATGTGTACTGGTAAGAAAGAAAAGGTGGTCTGGTGGTGTGATGGTAACACACTGGCCTTTCACCTAGCCATCCACAGTTCAATTCCTGGAATGGACATGAAAAAGTAGGAGTCATCTGTCCGATCATGTGGCTTTTTCCCCATGTACTCGGATTTCCTCCCACAGGAAGACCCCTTGTGTGCTTACATCCAGGCCAACAAGAGTGATTAGTAGAAGTTATTTCACAATTGTTGTATAATAAATAAAGTTTACATTACATCAAGAAAGAACAAACAAGAGAACCTACACACCTGAAGTTTTTAATTAGCAAGATTTTTATGATAGAAATAGACAGAAATAAAGTGTTATTTGCAATTGAAAAGATTTAAAAGATATCACATTGCCTGTTGTAATGTATTGATGATTTGTGTATAATGTGACAGGGTTGTCCCTCCTGGAAGTGGTATTTCCCTTATCACTATGCACCATTCGCATCCGACTTCATCAACATTGGAGAATTGTCAAATTCATTTGAAGCAAACACAGAACCAGTAAGTATATAAAATGAAATTTTCATTTTTGATCTATTTAGTTGATTAATATGATCATGCTTCATTCAGAAATTTGCTGTAAAATAAGTCAAAATCTAACATAATCAAACTTACAATATCATAATAAATTGAAGATTTGTCATTTTGAAATTCTTTTAAAATTTAAGAATGTTTATTGCAGTTTAAACCTTTAGAACAGTTGATGGGTGTATTTCCCGCTGGTAGTAAAGAACACCTTCCAGTTACCTGGCAACGGCTGATGACTGACCCTGTGAGTAAATCTACCTAATTATGTTTAAAGTAATAATTACATGATGCTTTGACAATGGATTAGATTGTATTGAAGTAAAATAATAAACATATATTGAAATTTCTGATCCAAATTCTCGTTTATTTCAGGAATCACCAATTATTGACTTCTATCCTGTTGACTTTAAGATAGATCTGAATGGAAAGAAATATGCCTGGCAAGGTATAGATATTAACAATACACTTTATCAACTTACAATGTATGCGGAGATAATATCCAAGTAACAATGATGTAGAGTCAAAATCTTCATAAGACGAGCAGAACTTTTGCCTTGTTTATTCTGTCTTGTTTTCTTACATAAGATTAAATGAGATGGATGATATTATTTGTTTCTTTGAACATTTATTGCTGAAACTGTACTATATAAAATAAGTTTTAGAGAGAGTAACAAAAATGTCTAAATACACAATCATAGAATTCAGCTGAGGCCAGCTTATAGGTCATTACCTTTGGATTGATCAGGTCTGAACTACATCTGCAATATATTTTAATTTAAAGGTGTTGCCTTACTACCGTTTGTGGATGAGAAAAGGCTCCTGTCTGCCTTAGCTACTGTGTATCCTGACCTTACAAGTGGAGAGAGTAAGTTTTAACTGTTACATATTAGATTTACTAGTAAATCATTTCTTGCTCAATACCATTTACATATTTTATTCACTATGTTTTAGAGATTTTACCTCTGTGTTCAACAGATTTAATCAGGGATGATGGATGTTGTTGTACCATTGTTAGTAATAAGACCATATGTCATCAGAAAGATTTGACAACATTATGCCGTAACTTAAAAAATGTCCACTTAAACTAAAGCAGACTTCACTATTGATCAAACCATTCAAATAATAAGCTCAGTATTTCTTTCTTTTTAGCGAATTTTACTAATTATGTACCCAAACTTGATGATATACCTACCCTTGATATATAGACTTGGTTAAGCTGTATCAACTTTCTGAATGTTGACTTTGACTGTCCCATACAGGAGAAACATCTGAAATGTGGTTATTCTTCATTAAAAAATGTGTGTTATATCTTTGATATATGTTGCTTGTAGGGAAGAGAAATACCAAAGGGAGCGACAGGATGTTTGTTGGTATTCGACACCCTATCTACACATTCTTTGAGGGTCTATATGAGGGCACAATGACTGTAGAGGTTGGTAGCATCATAACACTGTTTATTAAGATGTAAAAAAAAAAAACAGCAAGTACAAGTATAATGTTATAGTTCTGTAAATCACTTAGATTTCTTGAATACTTTATTACACAAACTGACCTCACCAGATATATTCAGGAATGCATGATTTCGGGGACGGTGATATAGAAATTACTTTATATTTTTTTATGATGGGCTACTAGACATATGGATTCTGATATCGGTAACCAAATCAGTATGGATGTCATTAAGAATCATTTCTATACAAATTGTCATGAATTTGCAATTGACTCTCCTGGCATATTAATGCAAAAGTAAATTTCGCACAAAATAGAGTCAAAAGTCATATTGATCAGATTGAAAATACCTGTGAGAAAGATATTACAGGAGAGTTTGTACCTAAGTCAGCTACAGATACTAACAATATGATGTTGATTGTCTCATACAACTAGATTTCTAAGTCCAGAGTGACATCAGCAGACATGATAATGATTTTCTGTTATACTCTAGCCAGTAGATATGGATCCCAAGTCAGCTCAAGGACTTGCAGGCAAAGTGTGGTGTGATGAATCTGCTGTTATGACTGGAGGGCAAGTAATGCTGAACAGCTATCATGAAAATTAGCTTAAGCTAGTGTCTTTAAATACTTTTCTGATAAGGTTTGGTTTTAGAGAAATGTTTACTGACTTTATTATGTGACATTGCTGGAATAGAAGGTGAGGCTCTACTGCAGGTAAAGTAGAAATGCCCACTTTCAATACAAGAAGGTTAAAAAGGGATAAGAAGTAAGCCTATCCTTTGGCTTTGGCATGAAAGAATCTAGGAGCTGGATGGATGAAGCCCTGATACATTACTTTAGTGTGAACAGTTGTATTGCTAATTGTATTTATCAGAGTTTCAAACATTATGATAGTGTTTGGTATAAATTTAGGTACAGTATCAATTCAGATACAGTCATGTTAGACTTGAATATAGATGCCTTGATGCTATCAAATTGACCACAGATCTCTCTGCTCTACATCCAGAAACTTTGTGTTTTGTTAATGTTGTGGAGTCAGTTATGATTCTTACTTAAACTCCTTTCCATATGAAGTCAAACACATTCATACTATTAGGATAAATATTTGGTTTTGGATTTAGCATCTAGGACTAAATCCTGTTTACCTGACATGAAACAAATCACTACTTTGGTCCTAAGGAGAAATAGGGGTCCTCTTATAGAAGTATAGAAATTGGGAAATGTGAATCTAGCATTTTGTCCCAGACTGGTTATAAAATCTTGAGGAAAGACAGTAAATGACAGTATATACCCTGTTACTCCCGTTGAAGAGAGAGCCTACATCCCATGAAGAGAGAGTCTCCACCCTTTTGAAGAGATAAATCCCCCCCACCCCCAAATGAAAAGAAGAGTCTTAACCCTTTAATGAGAGTCTGCACCTCTTGAAGAGAGTCTCCCCTCTTGAAGAAAGCCTACACCCCATGCAGAGAGTCTGCTCCCCTTAGAGAGAGAGATGGTCTCAGAAGGAGAAATTAGGATGTCATAAAAAAACGCTACAAATCTGATGAAAGAAGATTTGTGACCTAACTTAGAGCATTTCTTGCCTAAAAAATTCAGCATAGTAAATGTGAAGGTTTACTTGAAGTGGGATTCATACTCAAAATGGATATTGTTTTTATTCTTATATGATAATGTTGCCTGTTACAATATTTAGATATGTATTATATACTACAGGACTGTTATGTGCCCTGTGCCAACATTACATGACACTCCAGACAACAGAGCCATTGGGTAAGTACAGAGATTTCTGTACCAGATAGAAATCAGGTTAGATAATCCTTATTACATTGGGTATGTACAGAGATTTCTGTATAAGAAAGAACCAGGTTAGATAATCCTTGTTACATTGGGTATGTACAGAGATTTCTGTATCAGATAGAAATCAGGTTAGATAATCCTTATTCCATTGGGTATGTACAGAGATTTCTGTACCAGATAGAAATCAGGTTAGATAATCCTTATTACATTGGGTATGTACAGAGATTTCTGTATCAGAAAGAACCAGGTTAGATAATCCTTATTACATTGGGTATGTACAGAAATTTCTGTATAAGAAAGAACCAGGTTAGATAATCCTTATTACATTGGGTATGTACAGAGATTTCTGTATAAGAAAGAACCAGGTTAGATAATCCTTATTACATTGGGTATGTACAGAGATTTACAGAGATTTCTCCTTATTACATTGGATAGCAGAGAACCAGATAGAAATCAGGTTAGATAATCCTTATTACATTGGGTATGTACAGAGATTTCTGTATAAGAAAGAACCAGGTTAGATAATCCTTATTACATTGGGTATGTACAGAGATTTCTGTACCAGATAGAAATCAGGTTAGATAATCCTTATTACATTGGGTATGTACAGAGATTTCTGTATAAGAAAGAACCAGGTTAGATAATCCTTATTACATTGGGTATGTACAGAGACCAGGCTAGATAATCCTTATTACATTGGGTATGTACAGAGATTTCTGTACCAGATATCCTTATTACAAATCAGGTTAGATAATCCTTATTACATTGGGTATGTACAGAGATTTCTGTACCAGATAGAATCAGTTAGTTACAGATACAGAGAATCCTTATTACATTGGGTATGTACAGAGATTTCTGTACCAGATAGAAATCAGGTTAGATAATCCTTATTACATTGGGTATGTACAGAGATTTCTGTACCAGATAGAAATCAGGTTAGATAATCCTTATTACATTGGGTATGTACAGAGATTTCTGTATAAGAAAGAACCAGGTTAGATAATCCTTATTACATTGGGTATGTACAGAGATTTCTGTACCAGATAGAAATCAGGTTAGATAATCCTTATTACATTGGGTATGTACAGAGATTTCTGTACCAGATAGAAATCAGGTTAGATAATCCTTATTACATTGGGTATGTACAGAGATTTCTGTATAAGAAAGAACCAGGTTAGATAATCCTTATTACATTGGGTATGTACAGAGATTTCTGTATAAGAAAGAAACCAGGTTAGATAATCCTTATTACATTGGGTATGTACAGAGATTTCTGTACCAGATAGAAATCAGGTTAGATAATCCTTATTACATTGGGTATGTACAGAGATTTCTGTTATCCTTATTACAGATAATCCTTATTACAATGTACAGAGATTTCTGTATAAGAAAGAACCAGGTTAGATAATCCTTATTACATTGGGTATGTACAGAGATTTCTGTATACAGAGATTTCTGTAAGATAGAAACCAGGTTAGATAATCCTTATTACATTGGGTATGTACAGAGAGAATCAGGTTAGATAATCCTTATTACATTGGGTATGTACACAGATTTCTGTACCAGATAGAAATCAGGTAAGATAATCCTTATTACATTGGGTATGTACAGAGATTTTCTGTATAAGAAAGAACCAGGTTAGATAATTTTTTGTAACATTGGGTAAGTACAGAGATTTCTGTACCAGATAGAAATCAGGTTAGATAATCCTTATTACATTGGGTATGTACAGAGATTTCTGTACCAGATAGAAATCAGGTTAGATAATCCTTATTACATTGGGTATGTACAGAGATTTCTGTACCAGATAGAAATCAGGTTAGATAATCCTTATTACATTGGGTATGTACAGAGATTTCTGTACAAGAAAGAAATCAGGTTAGATAATCCTTATTACATTGGGTATGTACAGAGATTTCTGTATACAGAGAGATAAGAACCAGGTTAGATAATCCTTATTACATTGGGTATTACAGAGATTACATTAGATAATCCTTATTACATTGGGTATGTACAGAGATTTCTGTACCAGATAGAAATCAGGTTAGATAATCCTTATTACATTGGGTATGTACACAGATTTCTGTACCAGATAGAAATCAGGTTACATTGGGATAATCCTTATTACATTGGGTATGTACAGAGATTTCTGCATAAGAAAGAACCAGGTTAGATAATCCTTGTTACATTGGGTATGTACAGAGATTTCTGTACCAGATAGAAATCAGGTTAGATAATCCTTATTACATTGGGTATGTACAGAGATTTCTGTACCAGATAGAAATCAGGTTAGATAATCCTTATTACATTGGGTATGTACAGAGATTTCTGTACCAGATAGAAATCAGGTTAGATAATCCTTATTACATTGGGTATGTACAGAGATTTCTGTATAAGAAAGAACCAGGTTAGATAATCCTTATTACATTGGGTATGTACAGAGATTTCTGTATAAGAAAGAACCAGGTTAGATAATCCTTATTACATTGGGTATGTACAGAGATTTCTGTACCAGATAGAAATCAGGTTAGATAATCCTTATTACATTGGGTATGTACAGAGATTTCTGTATAAGAAAGAACCAGGCTAGATAATCCTTATTAGAAAGAACCAGGCTAGATAATCCTTATTACATTGGGTATGTACACAGATTTCTGTACCAGATAGAAATCAGGTTAGATAATCCTTATTACATTGGGTATGTACAGAGATTTCTGTACCAGATAGAAATCAGGTTAGATAATCCTTATTACATTGGGTATGTACAGAGATTTCTGATACCAGATAGAGAATCAGGTTAGATAATCCTTATTACATTGGGTATGGGTATGTACAGAGATTTCTTTACCAGATAGAAATCAGGTTAGATAATCCTTATTACATTGGGTATGTACAGAGATTTCTGTATCAGATAGAAATCAGGTTAGATAATCCTTATTACATTGGGTATGTACAGAGATTTCTGTACCAGATAGAAATTAGAATAGATAATCCTTCTTAAGTTTGATAAGTACATATTTGTCAATTATGGGGAGTATGTAGATGATCTAAAATGAGTAATTTATTTAATAAGTTCAATAATTTGATATGTCACAAGCCTTTAAATGAGCAACAAATCAAATTATTGCACACCTTTGATAAATTTCATGTAAGAATTTTCAAATTAATTTCTCGATAAGACAGACTTATTCAGACATGCGTCTTGTGATATTTATGACATGACATAAACAGGCGAGTTTTCTGATAAATTATAAAAAAAAAATATTTCTCTTTTTTTATACTTGATAAATTACACATTAAATCTCCATTGGCATTTCTTAGCTCCAGTTCAAGTATTGAAAAGCATAGAATATCTAACTGTGGTCATAGTGAATTCATTTGCCATTTAAAGATTACCACAGGTAGACTTCACAAAGTTTGTGACTTAAGCCTAAATTCATTCTGTGTCATTTCTTTTTCAGAGTGCACTATTTAGACCCAGTGTATGAACAAGGCTACATCTACAAGGCTAAAATTCTGCCCGGGGCAAAGTAAGTTATACATCTTCAAGGGTATCATTCTAACAGGCTAAAATAGCAAGAAGAGTTAGTGTAAAACTACAGGCTAAATCATTTCCTTTGACAATAGGAATTCTTTAAATCACTTACGGTATTACATTACGTACCTTTATGTATCACACTGACAATAATATACCTTTTATCTTGTTAACCAGCTGATGACATTGACCTATTTCTACTTGTTAGGTCTTGCCTTGAAACAAATTATTGGAGTTCATTTCAATTGAGAAAGATGTTATTCTTTTGAAACAGTCCTTCCTTAACCACTAATATAGATATTCACTTGTGATTATAGGATGCCTCCTCGTGTTCTTAAGCCAGAAGACTTTAATAAGAACAAGCCCTGGAAACCATGGGTTCCCCAGATTGGAATGTCTCGAGGGGGATCATCAAACCGTGGAGCTAGGGATATAGACAGTGCCCTCAGGATGATCAGGTAATGGGTCTATTGATATAATGGTTCTTAAAGTTATACCACTAAGTGTGTAGGTAAGTTTATATGCTACCTTTGTATGGCATGATACTTAGGGGTGTATGTCACCTTTATGTGGCATGGTACTTAGGTTTGTATGTCACCTTTATATGGCATGGTACTTGATGATGTGTGCTACCTGTCGTGGCATCTGAGAAAAATAGTACCCGATATTTTTTATTTGCTCATTTAATGTAAAGACACTTGATATTGAGGATAGAAGAAAGGAAAGAAAAAAACACATGCAATAAGATGTAAAGATGTGTAAATGTTTTGCTTACATTCAGATAAATCTGAGTAAGAAATTCTTAAAGCGATAATATGGAAGTAGGGTTTGTGTGAAAAAGGAATGAAGGGAAGAGTTATCTTCTTTAATTAGAAGATATTCTCACTGCTTTAAGGGTGTTTCCACTGTTTTTGTAATACTATAATTGAATTCATTTTTGTGTCGCCTGCAGACACTGACAGACACTTAGGGATCACTTTGTCTGTCATCACGCGTCACAGTGGCGGCAGCCTCATCTGTACGAAAGACTTTTTTCGGTAATGCTTTGAGTTATCAAAATGAAATTTGGCATATGGATTTTTGTTGCAAGGGTACAGATTAAGTTCGATTCCCAGCTGTCTGTTACCCTTTTTGGCAGAGTTATGCCTCTTTCAACTTAGAAAATTTCCTGGGAATTTTTTTTTCCTGACTTTTTTGGCTTATGCTTTGATTTATCGAAGCAAAATTTGATATATGGCTTTTTGTTGCAAGGGTACAGATTAATTTTGATTCTTGGCTGTCTGTGACCCTTTTTGGCAGAGTTATGCCCCTTTGAACTTAGAAAATTCTCTGGGAATATTGTTTTCTTGACTTTCTTTGATTATGCTTTGAGTTATAGAAATCACATTTGCTATATGGCTTCTTGTTGGAAGGATACAGATTAGTTTTGATTCTTGGCTGTCTGTAACCCTTCTTGGCAGTGATATGTCCTTTGTGCAGTTTTCCCTTTATGCTTCAATTTATAGAAATGAAATTTAGTATTACAACTTTATGGTTGGTTGTTGCACATCCAGTTCAATTTCTGTGTGACCGTGACACTTAATGCAGGCGACACATACAGTTCCGAGGAACTCTTGTTTCTGTATTTTATCACAATTTTCTCTTAGATATAGGATTTGTCTTGAGAAATTCTTTGCTTTGCAAGTGTTTTGCATGTGTATATATGTGTGATCTCTAGGAATAAGTTAGTCAAAAATGTACCTGTCATTTTACAGACATGGTGTGGGTGGTGGAGGTGGACAGGACCAGAGAGGTTCTTGGAATAGGGGAGACAACAGATCACACGGAGGTCCACCATCTCTTCTCTCAATGGGTAAGTACAAGGTTTCATACCATAAACTGGTATAAGATGCATTTGATTAATAAATAAAGTACCTGTGAGTAGATTTTTTGTCAAGGGATACTGTGTACTACTTGTAAAGAGAAGGAAATGGAAAAAAAACTCCAAGGTTTGATTAAGTAAGTATAAAACATCGGTTGTTTTTCATTTGCAATAATAGTGATTGGGGAGATCTTGTTCCAACTCCTCCTAAATTTTGAATCAATTTTAGTGAAACCACAAAGGGATGTTTACAAATGATGGGCAGCAGAGAGTTGGCCATTGGCTTATAGTTGCAGTGGTGTTTATCAAACAAAGTAAACAAATTAAGTCATTATTATTTCATCATTAAGAATTACTCGATATGTCCATCTTGGATTGTTTTTTATCAATGTTGTCATCAACGATGAAATTAATGAAATGGAAATATTTAAAAAAGTGTAACTGCTTATTTGAGTTACTTCCCCTACAACAGTAGATTTTTGTCATCCCATCTGATAATTACAGAAGGGTTTTGTTTAGTTCGAATTACTTCCCTTGCAACAAAAGTGAACAATTAATTCAAAGGTATCTTTTCAACACCTATTTCATTTATTCATTTCAACTTCATGCACTAAAATGAAAAAAAATAAAACAACTGAAGGATGAAATTTTTAATGACCCTACCTGAAATACAACCTCAATATTAAGACCACTTTGGGAAGTGGACAAAACTATTTAAAATGAAGACTGTATATATATACATATATAAATGTTAAAACCCTTGATAACTTGTTTGTGTGTAACCAGAAGAATAACAGCCAATGTAGGGCTTCCAACATGAATAAGAGCATACCAACCGACTTATCAATACATAATTAACAAACGAAAGTCACTATAAAAATATATCTGACATGCAGTTTCACCAATAATCCAATAATGATGTTAACTTCATGTAACACCACCTGATGGCAGGGTCGGTAACCCATGACAAAAACGATGGTCAAGATCAACACACATGCTCACGGTTCACTGCCCACCAGGTGAACTTTTATCACCAGTCAGAGCTTGATCGCAATTGTGAGGAAAAAACAACTGAAAGAAAAGTGCTGTAATAGCAAGAGTGGTTGTTATAGTAATAGCAGGATGGTTGTTAGTGATAGCTGGATGGTTGTTAGTAATAGAAGGATGGTTGTTAGTGATAGAAGGATGGTTGTTATTGATAGCAGGATGGTTGTTAGTGATAGCAGGATGGTTGTTAGTAATAGCAGGATGGTTGTTAGTGATAGCAGGATGGTTGTTAGTGATAGCAGGATGGTTGTTAGTGATAGAAGGATGGTTGTTAGTAATAGCAGGATGGTTGTTAGTGATAGCAGGATGGTTGTTAGGATGGTTGTTAGTGATAGCAGGATGGTTGTTATTGATAGCAGGATGGTTGTTAGTAATAGAAGGATGGTTGTTAGTGATAGCAGGATGGTTGTTAGTGATAGCAGGATGGTTGTTAGTAATAGCAGGATGGTTGTTATTGATAGCAGGATGGTTGTTAGTAATAGAAGGATGGTTGTTAGTGATAGCAGGATGGTTGTTAGTAATAGCAGGATGGATGTTAGTGATAGCAGGGTGGTTGTTAGTGATAGCAGGGTGGTTGTTAGTGATAGCAGGGTGGTTGTTATTGATAGCAGGATGGTTGTTAGTGATAGCAGGATGGTTGTTAGTAATAGAAGGATGGTTGTTAGTGATAGCAGGATGGTTGTTAGTAATAGAAGGATGGTTGTTATTGATAGCAGGGTGGTTGTTATTGATAGCAGGATGGTTGTTAGTAATAGAAGGATGGTTGTTAGTGATAGCAGGATGGTTGTTAGTGATAGCAGGATGGTTGTTGATAGCAGGATGGTTGTTAGTGATAGCAGGAGTGTTGATAGCAGGGTGGTTGTTAGTGATAGCAGGATGGTTGTTAGTATGGATGTTAGTGATAGCAGGATGGTTGTGATAGCAGGATTGATAGAAGGATGGTTGTTAGTAATAGCAGGATGGTTGTTAGTGATAGCAGGGTGGTTGTTATTGATAGCAGGATGGTTGTAAGTGTTAGCAGGATGGTTGTTAGTGATAGCAGGATGGTTGTTAGTAATAGCAGGGTGGTTGTTATTGATAGCAGGATGGTTGTTAGTAATAGAAGGATGGTTGTTATTGATAGCAGGATGGTTGTTAGTGATAGCAGGATGGTTGTTATTGATAGCAGGATGGTTGTTAGTGATAGCAGGATGGTTGTTATTGATAGCAGGATGGTTGTTAGTGATAGCAGGATGGTTGTTATTGATAGCAGGATGGTTGTTATTGATAGCAGGATGGTTGTTAGTGATAGCAGGATGGTTGTTATTGATAGCAGGATGGTTGTTATTGATAGCAGGATGGTTGTTAGTGATAGCAGGATGGTTGTTAGTGATAGCAGGATGGTTGTTATTGATAGCAGGATGGTTGTTAGTAATAGCAGGGTGGTTGTTATTGATAGCAGGGTGGTTGTTATTGATAGCAGGATGGTTGTTATTGATAGCAGGATGGATGTTAGTGATAGCAGGATGGTTGTTAGTAATAGAAGGATGGTTGTTAGTGATAGCAGGATGGTTGTTAGTGATAGCAGGATGGTTGTTAGTGATAGCAGGGTGGTTGTTATTGATAGCAGGATGGTTGTTAGTAATAGCAGGATGGATGTTAGTGATAGCAGGGTGGTTGTTAGTGATAGCAGGATGGTTGTTATTGATAGCAGGATGGTTGTTATTGATAGCAGGATGGTTGTTATTGATAGCAGGATGGTTGTTATTGATAGCAGGATGGTTGTTAGTGATAGCAGGATGGTTGTTAGTGATAGCAGGATGGTTGTTAGTGTGATAGCAGGATGGTTGTTAGTGATAGCAGGATGGTTGTTAGTGATAGATGGTTGGTTGTTAGGATGGTTGTTATTGATAGCAGGATGGTTGTTATTGATAGCAGGATGGGTTGTTAGCAGGATGGTTGTTAGTGATAGCAGGATGGTTGTTATTGATAGCAGGATGGTTGTTATTGATAGCAGGATGGTTGTTAGTGATAGCATAGCAGGATGGTTGTTAGTGATAGCAGGATGGTTGTTAGTAATAGAAGGATGGTTGTTATTGATAGAAGGATGGTTGTTATTGATAGCAGGATGGTTGTTAGTGATAGCAGGATGGTTGTTAGTAATAGAAGGATGGTTGTTATTGATGATAGATAGCAGGATGGTTGTTATTGATAGCAGGATGGTTGTTAGTGATAGCAGGATGGTTGTTAGTGATAGCAGGATGGTTGTTAGTGATAGCAGGATGGTTGTTAGTAATAGCAGGATGGTTGTTATTGATAGCAGGATGGTTGTTAGTGATAGCAGGATGGTTGTTATTGATAGCAGGGTGGTTGTTATTGATAGCAGGATGGTTGTTAGTGATAGCAGGATGGTTGTTAGTAATAGAAGGATGGTTGTTATTGATAGCAGGGTGGTTGTTATTGATAGCAGGATGGTTGTTAGTGATAGCAGGATGGTTGTTATTGATAGCAGGATGGTTGTTATTGATAGCAGGATGGTTGTTAGTGATAGCAGGATGGTTGTTAGTAATAGAAGGATGGTTGTCAGTGATAGCAGGATGGTTGTTAGTGATAGCAGGATGGTTGTTATTGATAGCAGGATGGTTGTTAGTAATAGAAGGATGGTTGTTAGTGATAGCAGGATGGTTGTTAGTGATAGCAGGATGGTTGTTATTGATAGCAGGATGGTTGTTAGTGATAGCAGGATGGTTGTTATTGATAGCAGGATGGTTGTTAGTAATAGCAGGATGGTTGTTAGTGATAGCAGGATGGTTGTTAGTGATAGCAGGATGGTCGTTATTGATAGCAGGATGGTTGTTATTGATAGCAGGATGGTTGTTAGTGATAGCAGGATGGTTGTTATTGATAGCAGGGTGGTTGTTATTGATAGCAGGATGGTTGTTATTGATAGCAGGATGGTTGTTATTGATAGCAGGATGGTTGTTATTGATAGCAGGGTGGTTGTTATTGATAGCAGGGTGGTTGTTATTGATAGCAGGGTGGTTGTTATTGATAGCAGGATGGTTGTTATTGATAGCAGGATGGTTGTTAGTGATAGCAGGATGGTTGTTAGTGATAGCAGGATGGTTGTTAGTAATAGCAGGATGGTTGTTAGTGATAGCAGGATGGTTGTTATTGATAGCAGGATGGTTGTTAGTGATAGCAGGGTGGTTGTTATTGATAGCAGGATGGTTGTTATTGATAGCAGGATGGTTGTTATTGATAGCAGGATGGTTGTTATTGATAGCAGGATGGTTGTTATTGATAGCAGGATGGTTGTTATTGATAGCAGGATGGTTGTTAGTGATAGCAGGATGGTTGTTAGTGATAGCAGGATGGTTGTTATTGATAGCAGGATGGTTGTTATTGATAGCAGGATGGTTGTTATTGATAGCAGGGTTGTTGTTAGTGATAGCAGGGTGGTTGTTAGTGATAGCAGGGTGGTTGTTATTGATAGCAGGGTGGTTGTTATTGATAGCAGGATGGTTGTTATTGATAGCAGGATGGTTGTTATTGATAGCAGGATGGTTGTTAGTAATAGCAGGATGGTTGTTATTGATAGCAGGATGGTTGTTAGTAATAGCAGGATGGTTGTTATTGATAGCAGGGTGGTTGTTAGTAATAGCAGGGTGGTTGTTATTGATAGCAGGCGTGCGTCGTCGAGAAGAATTCCTCTTCTACACTGGCTCCTGGGTTTCCTGGGTTACAACTCGGAGTGACAGATTTATCGAAGGTTAGACCCTGCGATTATGCCATCCATGACGGGAAGCTGTCTCCCCATCCAGCCAAGCTGGAATTGAGGGGTTTTTCTTCCTGGCCCGGAAAGGCGATAGACCAGGTGGTGTTCCTAGCCAAGGTCAGGAGGATGTTGCGCCTCTCACTTCATATCTTGTCGTACATTGATTTTTTCACTGTATCCTTGTACA